TTATTGTTGTTGCTGTTGTCCATTGTTGTCATCTTTCTTTGTTGAAATCAGGTCTCTCTTGTAAATGAGTCCTCGAGGCTCAATGGGATTTACCTGTATAAATAAAGGTTGATATTAATGCTCAAGCAATATTCTCCCGATAAACTCATTTTCCTCACTCCTCTCTCTGTTTTGTCGTTGCAGTTTTAAAAGCACTTGTTTTAGCATCACATTCATCTAAGCTTCAAGAGGTCGTCAAGGCCATCGTACTGTTGGCATGCAGAGCATAAATATAATGCGACACGCTTTAACGATTTATTGCAGTCCAAGTAGTCCTTTGTGTTATTTATTTTTGCACATGGTATTTTAGTTTCAATACATTTTGGCATATTTTGCGGCCCGGTTGTAAAATTGTTGGACACGTACTTGCGTACCTGCAGCCGTTACCAATGTCAGCGACTGTCGTTTGGCGAATTAAGTTAATAATGAAGTTCGGGATTCTGCAAAACTTAACACTAGGATCACTTATCTAACATCACGCTGCCACAGATTGTGTGTTTTTGTGTGTCTGCTCTGTACAACACTTCTGATTCCATGGGCGCGGCAGGCTGAAGCTCAGCGCTGCAGTCATGAAATCAGAGACACACACTTTCTGCCATGACCGCCTCACTTATTCTCTTTTATTCTTTCCATGGCACACTCGGTGTATGTTTCCTGCTCATCACCGCACCTTCTGCTCCTGTTTTTACCAACCATGAAAAGGTCACACGTGGACACACTCGTGAATCCACAGTATATGTTGTTCCCTCTGTCAGTGTGTGTGTATATACAAAATTAACCAAAAATCACAGCCAACAACTTTTCTAGTACTAGTTCTTGTTTAGTGATGATGGTCATTTTTTTTTATTTTTAGTTTACAGTGGTGCAAAAAAGTATTTAGTCAGCCACTGATTGTGCAAGTTCTCCTACTTAGAAAGATGAGAGGTCTGTAATTTTCATCACAGGTGCACTTCAACCATGAGACACAAAATTAGGAACAATAACCCAGGAAATCACGTTGTAGGATTTTTAAAGAATTTATTTGTAAATTATGGTGGAAAATAAGTTTTTGGTTAATAACAAACAAGATTTCCAGCTCTCACGGACCTGTAACTTCTTCTTTAAGAAGCTCTTCTGTCGTCCACTCGTTACCTGTATTAATGGACCAGTTTGACCTCGTTGTCTGTATCAAAGACACCTGTCCACAGCCTCAAACAGACAGACTCCAAACTCAACCATACCCAGGACCAAAGAGCTGTCAAAGGACACCAGGAAGAAAATTGTAGACCTGCACCAGGCTGGGAAGAGCGAATCTACAATAGGCATGTCGTTCATGTCTGCGTTTAACAAAACAAATGTTTTTAAGTTAATTCAGCACTGGGTTTGTAAGCTCAAACATCCAGGTAGACAACAAAAATGGCTAAATCATGCAATCTGGACCTGTTTCAGAAATGGATCCAGATGACATGATTTAGCCATTTTTGTTAATTCAGCACTGTTTTTCCCTATATCGGATCGATATAGGATCGGTATCGACCGATACTAACCCGCAGGTATCGGATCGGACGTGAAGAAAGTGGATCGTGCATCCCTAATGTAAACTTATCCATCCGTCCATCCATCCATTATCTTTACCCACTTATTCCATTTTGGGTCACGGGGGTCGCTGGTGCCCATGTCCAGCAATCACTGTGCGAGGGGCGGGGTACACCCTGGACGGGTCGCAAGTCCATCACAGGGCCACATAGAGACAAACGAGACAAACAACCATTCACTCTCTCATTCACACCTAGGGCCAATTTAGAGTTACCAATCAGCCTAACATGCATGTTTTTGGACTGTGGGAGGAAACCGGAGCACCCGGAGAAAACCCACGCATGCACGGAGAGAACATGCAAACTCCACCCAGAAAGGCCCCTGGACCGGGGTTTGAACCAGGGACCTGCTCACTGAGAGGCAGCAGCTCTATGTAAACTTATATGTTGTCAAATTTTACTTGTATGTGGAGCAAATATTTTATGTGATATTTGTTGCGTGTGATTGTGGTAAAAAAAAAAACGGAGTTCATTTTCACAGTTTTACATGTGATGGTTAAAAGATTATTAAAATAAAATAAACATCAGTCAAAATAAAGCAGTACTGCACCGTAAAGGTGGAATAAATAAATAAAGGTTGAGTGAAAACGACGGCACAAAAACAATTAGACGTAGCGTTTCTAGATCGCCCGCCTTTTTCTAGAATGGCGCCGCTCAAGCTGCATGTTGGAGCAACTCTTACATTCTGGGACGATGCTCTTGAAAACTTTAATTCCTCTTTTTTCTGAACGTAAATCGCTTTTTTGGGATGATCATTTCCTCTGGTATCAGATGCTGTGCAGCTTGAAGGATTTTTACTGAAACCTTTTTTTTTTTTTTTTTTTTGCTTTTGGACATTTGCTATGATGCGTAACCATGACAACAAGGTGCTTTTTTTTTTTTTACAATTGGGAGCAGCTGATTAACATCTCAAAAGCTCAAATAGAACTTCAGCTACAGCCCCACCACTACCTGGCTAGCTTGCTTTACAACCTGGGGGTATGGACTTTAATGATTTTTCAAATTTTGTAATCCTGGTAGTCCACCAAAAGGATCAGGAAGATCATTAAACCTTTATTTAACCAGATTAAAAAAACATTGAGATCAAGACCTCTTTCACAAGAGTGAACTGGCCAAGAAAAGGAATAAACCTTCTGAGACTAGCATCCCAGCTGTTGTGGCAGCAACAAGGCATTTTCTCGCCTTAACCTGATTTCAAGACCAAATTTGGATTGGATGACCAGGATCAATATTGATACTTACAGATAAAAGACTATTATGAGAAAGAGATAAAAACCAATATAAGTACAATAATTGAAATATTTCAGAAGGCCTATGAGGGGAAGAAATGTAGATTAATATCGACATTGCATCAGGGGTTGATGGGGAATTATCTACTTTATATATTAAGGAGAAATGGGAAAAGGAATTAAATGAGCATATAAGTGAGGAAGATTGGTTTAAAATTTGTAAAACACAGTGGAAAAATTTATTTAGATTTTTTTTAAACTCCAAAGATCAGAAAGAATATGGTATCCAGCTCACAGCCGTGCTGGAGACTCTGTGGTCAGACGGATGTGGACCATACTCATGTATTTTGGTCCTGTCAAAAGATAACTGCATTCTGGTATAACATATGTAACATTTTGAAGAAAAAAAAACATGCATATGGAATACCCAGGCCAGAACATGTAGGATACTCTATTTGGGATGTTTTACATGTGATGTCATCCAAAAAGAAGATGAATACTTGGTAAAAATCTTGCTTTCGGTACAAGATTTTTACCAAGTATTAATATGTTATTATATTATATACTATATATTATATATAGGGGGCAAAGGCCAACATATCAGTAATGAACCTAAAAATATATACTGTGATACTAAATTTGCTCGGTTGAACTTATTAAAATAAGATTTTAACCCCCTTTGTTTCTGTCCTCCTGCAGACGGACGTGAACGCCTGTTATCTGCGCGCAGCTCGCGCTGGAAATGTAGAGAAAGTTTTGGACTACCTGAAGAATGGAGTGGACATCAATATTTGCAATCAGGTAAGCTCGTCACTCCGCTCACTGAAAGATGTGTTAATAACAACGCTGCTGCGAGCAGAGCTGATATTCTGATTTTTAGCATTTAGCTCTAAAGCATTTCCATCAAAAACGCTCCAACTCAGTCCAGCTTACAGAATCCCTACGAAGTGCTAAATGTTCTTTATTCTGCCATTTATATTATCTATTGAAACAAAATGTATTCATTGTATCGTCACCACGGTAACTGCGTCTGCCACTCCAAAACAGCAAATTTAAGAGAGAAAGACGAAAACAGCCTTAAAAGTAAGTCTCAAACAGCTGCTGTGTAAAAACTGAGATGAGCAAGAAGACTGAAATCATCTTGTTTTGTGCATTCTCTGCACCTCAAGGAGATTTGTGAGAAAAATGGACGTCTTACAGCAGCGAGAGACTCGCTGGGTAAAGAAGACAATAATCCCTACATTTTGAGGTATAATTCATACTGTCATTTTTGGATTCTTGAGCACACCTGAATATAAGCCACGCCCACTAAGTTTTAAAAGAAACAAATTCATACATATATAGGCCGCACTTGTGTATAAGCCGCGGGTGTTGTTGGGGAAAACATGAATCCTTCCCTCCATCCTGCCCGGGTTGTTTGCTCTGAAGGAACTCACACTTATGTCAGAATTAACAACTTATTTATTTCTACAGACTTCAAAATGCATGAACAAGAGAGGATTGTAAATATATTACCTCGCATTCAGGGGCCCCCTGTACAACTCTGACCTGTGTCAGGTCTCTTTCCACGCTTAAAGACTCTGTTCCTCCACCCCGTGACACTTCCTGTTTTCAGTTTCTATCCAATCAAACACCTTACAGACTCTGAAGTCCCTCCCATTTCCCAGCCGATCCAGTCAGTCCCCGACACACTTCCTGGTTCTCGTCCCTGTCCATTCAGACATATACACACTCTCGTGGTCCCTTCCATTTCTCATTCTATCCAATCACTGACACTTCATTAGCTGTCATCTCTTTCAACTGAGGACGTGACACTGTCCTATTTTTTCATTAGACAGATTTACACACACACACACACATAATCTCACAATGACTGTGAGACTCTGATTATTTCCTTGGTAACTTAGTACATTATCAAGTTTTAGATTGCTCCATAAGAGCCAGGGTCGTTCTGACCTATTAAGCTGCTCTTTGACTCATTATTATTTTATAATCTCCACACACACACAAATGATGTGAACTATAATTTAACTTTATAGTTGATCTTGGTTAACTGAACATGAACCTTTGATGTTGATGTTTTGTTTCTCATTAAAGGCCTTATAAGGAACTATTTTCCTACTGACGGCAGAAAGTGTCATGGCTGATTTTAAAGTTAGCAGTCACTAAAATATATTATTTATCAGCTTATGGCCTAGTTTACACATCGAACATATATTCTAGCCACCTTTATATGATCTATTTTCCATAGTTCATGATTAAACATTATATTCACCAACCCATATTGTTGTTTTCCACAATTTATCATCAAATGTTATTTTATTCTTAACAGTGTTCATGTTGTAACATGAGCTATTCATCAAAATGTGGGGGAGAACCACCCACACCTGCCTCCACCCTCATTTGCTCCTCTCTGGACCCTTGAGCAAGGCTCTTAACCCCCACCATCTGCTCCCCTGGGTGCCCTAGATAGAAGCTCTCTGCTCCACACAGAGGGCTGTGGTAGCTCGGTGGTGTTCAGTTGCATCATGAAGGACATCCGTCGTAAAAATATTTGCCAAGTCTTCGTGCGACAGTTCGCTGTGGTGACCCCTGAAGAAGGGAGCAGCTGAAAGAAGAAGAAGAAGAAAGAAGTATCATTGAGTCATGAGGACCCACCCCCCAAGAGAGACGTGTGTTAGGCAGCTATGTGAACGCCCAGGTGTGATGAGGCTAAATGTTTTAGCCAGTTAGCCCATCAAAAAATAAAAAAACAACTCCATAAATTAGTCGCAGCACTTTACAAACTGCGGGATTCAAAGGCAGCGGCTTATAGTCCAGAAGTTACGGTATATGCCCAAAATGGTTTATTAGTGTTTGTTTGCAAAAGTTTTGAAAATCTTTAACCGCTCAAAAATTTGTTGACCATTCCTCTGATTAATCTGCAAAGATAAAACATTAAGCCTAAATTGCTGTTTTAAAGTCCATCTTTCTGTGACTCGTTGAAGTTTGGCTGAGCTGCAGAGCTACGGAGAAGGCGGAGTTTTCTCACCGGTTCAGCCAAAATTCAAATTGTTTTATTTTTTGTGCAAAATTCTTTTATACTGTGATACATATTGCTACAAATGTTAAATCACGCTATTCCCAATCAAACCACATCATTTGGTGTCATGTTTGCACTTTTTTTTTTTATTTTTCCAAAGCTGTGGGGTGTAAAAACAGACAAAAATCATGACGCTTATTTTCTTAATGCCAAATAATATGAAAGAAAAGTCATTTTTGTATGCAAATCCACTGACATAGATGAATATGAATATAACTAGTGATTAAAAACAAACCCTTAAACGTCAACACAATTATACAAATGTCACCAGCATCCGTTTCTTCCTCACGTCTTGTTTGTTTTTCCCCAGAATGGTCTGAACGCTCTCCATCTGGCCTCCAAGGAGGGCCATGTGGAAGTGGTGGCTGAGCTCATCAAGCACGGCGCCAACGTGGACGCAGCCACTAAGGTGCGTTTCCGCCCAGCACACACATAAACACAGACACCCGATCACTCGCTGCGTGTGCACGAGTCCTCTGCCACATTCTGCTGAGTTTGCACCTTCCCCAATGTCACATTGCTTAAACAGCAGCTGAGGAGATGAATGGCTGCGCGTTAGAGGGGAGGACGAGAGTAAAACGTCTGTCGCCGAGCGGCTGCGTCAGTATTTCACTGACGCTCACAGGGAGCGTTAATGGTGGAATAAATGACAGTGAATTCATGCAACATGACGGAAAGTGATTCGTTGCTGAAATTATTTTAAATTATTATGAGTTTATGTTTGAATTATGCTCAGAATCACGGCCTGCTGGAGCGCTCTGTGATCCTCTGAATTCTAGAAACTGAGCTTGAGTTCATAACAAAAACACCGATTTCACTGGGAAATTATTAATGTGGATTACTGATTATTCAAAACCTGCATTCGCTCTTTCTTTAAATGGATCCTTTACCAGGATTTGTAGGTTTCCCTGTGGAGTTTGTGGGGTTTATACATTCGTCTCTCTTATTTCGTTCCTCTGACAGATGTTTGATGCATGAAGCTTTTTACATATTCCTGCTTGATAAAATTTCAAGTAGGACGGAAATATTAAATGGTAAATATTATACATGCCGTGGTGTTCATGTGTCTGTATGCACACAGGTGGAGACATGCAGAGTCATTTGAAGTCATGCAGCTTACATAGATCTATGTACCGTTTTTTTTTTTTGCCCTTTATGTCGCAGTTTTGTGCATAATTTGCATGCCCTGAGACGCACGCTGAAGCAACTTATTTATGGATTTTTTTTCCCATATTTATAAACCAAGATGACCGTTTTCATTCATTCTAACTGACGATATTGAACACTACCATTTTCAGCTGCTAGATGGCACTCGAGTAATATGGCATGCCATTGTATCATGTAATAGATAAAAGTGGCTATCGGGGGGGGGGGGGGCTCCGTCTTGTCAAAACTCTAAAATTCACGGTTGAAACCCGTTCCTTCATGTAAAAAGTTGTTTTTCTCTGCAAAAAGAAGCTGAGAACTTGTTTACTGATATTAATTTTTTTAATTAAAAGCTTTTTTTTGTCAAATGCTATGCTAAAGAGCTCAAACCACACTGAGCGTCTGCATTTTGAGAACCGAAGAGAGACAGCCCATGTCACGTCAAGGGGTCTCCCATTTTTCTTAGAGACACGCTGCTCGCTCCCTCACTATCCATCCTTCGGTTCACACTGTCTTATACTGCCATCTGGAGGTCAAAAATGGTACTAAACACAAACATTAACCAACATTTCTTCTTAAATTTGACAATAATTATTAATTATTGTCAAATTTCAAACAATATTATTGTTTCTCGCAATCATTTCTGAGGCAATTAATCGCCCAGGAAAATGTGTTATCGTGACAGGCCTAACTGCGGTTACCCTGGGTGAATGGTAACATCTGTTTTCGTGTCATTCCACTGATTTATGAGCATCTATTTGTCCACACGTCATAAAATCTTTGTCGCTTGTATAAAACGACTATCCCAGAGAGACTCATGCAGCAGCTAAACCTTACCGATAACTAACCATTTTCCTTCTGTGATGAACTTTATCGTCTCTTTGTCTCCACACACGCAGAGAAATAAAAAAATAAAAAACATTTTCTGAGTGTTCACAATATTTTTGTTCTTCTCAGCAGAAAGGAAACACTGCCCTCCACATAGCTTCTCTCGCTGGGCAGACTGACGTGGTGAAGGAGCTCGTCACAAACGGGGCGAACGTGAACGCACAGTCTCAGGTACACGCACGCACGCACGCACGCACGCACACGAGCACTAAGCAATCTGTGAAGCAACCAGGTGTGTGTATTTCCATGCAGATCAATGCACGCACAGCCATCATCAGTGTGTATGTGTGTGTGTGTGTGTTTGTGTGCTGTGTCAGCAGCTTGGGCTTGAATCCAATAGTTCTCTCTCTCACCCCCTCACACACACACACACACACACACACACACACACACACACACAGATGAGTGACCCTGTGGCCTCAGCAGCCACAATAATGTCAGTGTCAAAGCCCCGGTAGGAGCAGCTCACGATGAGATTGACAGCTTCTCGTCTTCAGAGCTGCAGCGAACCTCTTCATCCATCTCTGAATTCATTTTCTTAAAGCTGATCTGAGAACAACCCGAGCTGCAGATGTCAAGTTATATAAAGAAACTGTACTCTGTGTCTCCTCGAGTTTGTTTTGAATGTTTCAGCTTCCATTTCAGCATTTTGTTTTTGTTGAATAAAGTTTTTTTAATTTTATTTTGAGGTCTTCCTGTTCGTCTGCATGTCTGGGTGCTGCTGACAATACAGTGACAGACAATAAGAAGTAGAAAAAAGCCGTGTGAATCCTTGCTGCTGATTGAGTTTTGCTGAAAGTTGCTGAAGGAGTGAAAATCAGCTGAAGAGGTTTCAACACCGAACTTAATGCGAGTAGAGTTTGAACAGCTGACATTTGCTGAAAGTGGAAAGCAGCAGAAAAACGACGGAGATGTGTAGAAAAGGCTGAATAGAGCAGAAATGTAGCTGAAGTGAGCAGAATAAGCTGAAAAGACAGAAAATTTCACATAAAATATGAAACTAGGAAAAAAGGAAACTTAAAAATTAAAAAAGAAGCAGAAATTAGTCAAAAGTTGCCAAAGAAAAGCTAAAATGGAAGAAAGCAGCTGAAAGATGCAGAAAAATAGGTGAAAAAAGCTGAAGTGAGCAGTGAAAGGTTGTAAACTGCACGGAGCGTTTGAAGGATGTGGAGAGCTCGTTTGTTTTCAGTGGGATGACATGAAAAGCAACATGTTTATTTAAAAAAGTTGCACAAATACTAAACGTCGCAGCAGGAATGTCCTAAATGAGCCGAACGTCTTGATTTATGAATTGTTGAAAAAGCACGTGCCAAAAAACATACGGAAGAAAAATGGATTTCAGTAGTTAGTGAATGCTTTAGAAACATTCACGCTATACCAAGAAATCCAGGTGTTTTATTTTTAGACCATTTCTCATTTAAAAAATATTTTTTAGGATGAGGACATTTCTCTCTTTGGGCACCATCTGCAGCCTGACTCATGTAGGCTGGACGATTGGACCACTCTCCATTCAGGTCTTCTAAAAGTCCAATAAATCAGCTCAGAGATGACAAAGGCTTTACACTGGCTGCCTGTTCATTTTAGGACTGATCTTAAATTTATTTAATTGATTTTTATGGTGGGCGAGCTGATTGGTAATGCTAAATTGTCCCTAGGTGTGAGAGAGTGAATGGTTGTTTGTCTATGTGTCCCTGTGATGGACTGGAGCCATGTCCATGGTGTCCCCCACCTCTCTCACAGTGACTGCTGGAGCTGGATATGGGCATCAGTGACCCCTGTGACCCAAAAAGGAAGATGTGGGTAAAAGATGATGGATGGTTGGTTGGTGGGGTTGCATTGGCTTGGGTTGTTGGTTGGTTGGTTTGGTTGGTGGTTTGGTTTGGTTGGTTTGGTTGGTGGTTTGGTTTGGTTGGTGGTGTTGGTTAGTTGGTGTTTGGTTGGTGGTGTTGGTTAGTTGGTTGGTGGCTTGGTTTAGTTGGTGTTTGGTTTGGTTGGTGGTGTTGGTTAATTGGTTGGTGGCTTGGTTTGGATGGTGGTTTGGTTTAGTTGGTGGGGTTGAGTTGGGTTGGGTTTTTGGTTAGTTGGTTGGTTGGTGGTTTGGTTTGATGGTTTGGTTGGTGGTTTGGTTTAGTTGGTGGTGTTGGTTAGTTGGTTGGTTGGTGGCTTGGTTTGGTTGGTGGGGTTGGGTTGGGTTGTTGATTGGTTGGTTTGGTTGGTTGGTGGTTTGATTTAGTTGGTAGTTTGGTTTGATGGTTTGGTTGGTGGTTTGGTTTGGTTGGTGGTTTGGTTTAGTTGGTGGTTTGGTTGGTGGTGTTGATTAGTTGGTTTGGTTGGTGGCTTGGTTTAGTTGGTGGTTTGGTTTGGTTGGTGGGGTTGCGTTGGGTTGGGTTTTTGGTTAGTTGGTTGGTGGTTTGGTTTGATGGTTTGGTTGGTGGTTTGGTTTAGTTGGTGGTGTTGGTTAGTTGGTTGGTTGGTGGCTTGGTTTGGTTGGTGGGGTTGGGTTGTTGATTGGTTGGTTTGGTTGGTTGGTTGGTTGGTTGGTTGATTTTAAAGCCCCCCATGTCTGAGCATCAGACTATATCAGAAATATGGTTCTGGTTTATGAACTAGAATGACCCCTCAGATCCTCTGGGTCCTCTTTTTTTTTTTTTTAGCTGTTCCTAAAAGAAGAACAAGAACTTTTGGAGATTCTGCTTTTAGTAGCTTCACACGGAGTCTGAGGAACAGCCTGCTGGAGGATCTGAGATGACTCTGGACTAAAATCCCACCTGGTCGGTCGGTCTTTTACACAGGAAAGATTTTTTTTTGGTTTTGTTTTGTTTTGTTTGTAAAGCACTTTGAATTGCATTTAATCTGTCTGAACAGTGCTTTAGAAATTAAACTGGATAGAGTTTCTTGCAGTCTAAAAGCCTGCGTGAGAAATCTGTTCAGCATGATTTAACTCTTCAGTCCAGTGTAGGTTCAGTTTTCATGAGGAAGTAGCTGAGCTTTATTAAATGTTGGGGTTAAAATGACCAACCTCTGCTTACATCCCCGCATCACAGAACCGTGACATCTGAAGATCAAGAAGGAAACTTTCTATAAATTAAAGGACGTGCACGTCACCCATTGTGTTCCACGCCAAAGTTTTAGACTCAAGTCGTTTTTGTGTTTGCAAAGGTCAGTTGGCGTTGGTGACCATCTAGAATTTGAGTCCAAAATTTAATCTGTTGTAAATGTTTAGGAGATATTTTGCTAACAGACACAGTTGTCTCCAATAGTTAAAGTTAAAAAAACAGACCTCGTGTATCAGTTGGTGCTTAGATTATGTGTTGGGTGTTACTCTCAGCTACTACCACGCACAATTTGAGCTCAGTCTTTGTAAAGTCGGTTGAGTTGGAGTCAGTTTGGGCGTCACTAAGACTGGTAAGCTGCGGTGGCCATCTTGAAAGGAGTTAACTCCATAAGTTAATCAGTTGTACATGCCCGTTCAATGATCAGTTACTGCAGGTTTCAGTAAATTAGATATTTTGCTAACAGACAAACACATAAACACACACAGACCTTGGCAAAAAATAAAATAATATAAAACATTACCACCGGCTTTTCATCTTTCATCTACTGGTGATCAAATGGAATAAAATCATTGACATGTTAATGAGAAAATCTGAGATACTCGCCTCTAAATTTTGACCACATTTAATATATGATGTACGTCTTCTGATTCGGCTTGAACAAACAAACACATCCACGTCCTCTAAAACTCTTTGTTTTGTTTTTTCTAGAATGGCTTCACTCCGCTCTACATGGCGGCGCAGGAGAATCACATGGACGTGGTGCAGTTCTTACTTGACAACGGCTCCAGTCAGAGCATCGCAACTGAGGTAAAACCTGACAGTCCGTAAACAACTCCTCCATGATGTGTGTTTACTTCCTGCCTTCTGCGCTGTCGGCCTGCGGAGAATTTAGGAGATGTGATATTCAACGATATCGTCTGTGATGGTTAAAGCAATACGTTTATTTTGGGCTGAGGTGTTGCTGGTGAGTGAGTGAAGAAGATGGAGTCAGCAGCTGTTCACTGATGTGTGTCTGCAACTGCCTCCCCAGGGAGGAACCTGCGACGATCCACGAGTCCGGTGGAAACATGTCGTCTGCAGAGCGACAGCTTTGCATGACTAAAGTGTGACAAACGGCCATAGATGACGCAGTTCTGGTTCAGTTTACATTTACTTCCTGGTTCTGCTGTCTACTATGAACCAACAGACAACGAGAAGACCCAGTTATTCCTTTTGATTTCCTAAACTAATAAGTTTCAGTGAAAATAAATTATGACTGGTCACTTCTTGTTTTTCATGTTGGCATTTAAAAATGAATTTTGCTCTTTACCTGCAAATTCTAGAATTTTCTAGAACCATGTTCTAGAATTGCGCCGCTCAAGGTGGCTGCATGTTGGAGCAGCTCTCTTACTTTCGTTCCGCTTTTGAAAACTTTAATTCCTCTTTTTCTGGATGTAAATAGTGTTTTTGAGATGATTGATTCCTCTGAAACCAGATGCTGTGCAGCTGGAAGGATTTTTACTGAAACCTTTTTGCTTTTGGACATTTGTTGTGATGCGTAACCATGACAACAAGGTGGTTTTTACAATTGGGAGCAGTTTAACATCTAAAAAACTTAAATTATACCTCAGCTACAGCCCCACATGAGTTAAAAAGGAGGTGCCATGGATGCATCCCTGTCTACCTGGCAGGGGTGCTTGAGTACCTGACCACTGAGATCCTGGAGCTGGTGGGAAACGCGGCTCTTGACTGCAAGAAGACCGGGATCATCCCCTGATACCTGCAGCTGGCTGTCGGCAATGACGAGAAGCTCAACAAGTTGCTGGGAGTAGAAACCATCGCTCAGGGAGAAGTTCTGCCCAAGATTCAGGTGGTCCTGCTGCCCAAGAAGACCGAGAAACCCACAAAGTCCAAGTAGGCCAACATCTGTAATCATTCCTCAGATCTGCTCTACGACGCACTGCTACAAGAGATCCTTCCTGCCCACAGCCATCAGCATCTAGAACAACTCTAATGAAACCAGGATGATGAGCTACAACAGCATGTAGTTTCCCTTTGGGGTTAATAAAGTGTTTTTGAATTGAATTGAATTGAAACACAAAACGGTGTTGCTGTTGCCCTTGGTCAATGTTTTAACCAGACGTGTGTCAAAATGGTCAAAAAGGCTTTTTTTCTCCCCTTTTTGATAAACTTTAATAACAAAACGTCAGTAAACATGATAAAAAAATCATAACTCTACAAACCCACGCTGGTCTGAAGTAAACCTTCAATGCTGTTAAATTTAGTTCAAATCAAATACGTTTAAAAATTGGTTAATTGTAAATCAAATCTGGAGATGGTAAAAAATGTTTTTAAAGTTGTTTATAAAAAAAAAAAGTCTGAAAAAATGCAATTAGAGAAATAGATTTGTCTGTAAAAATGCAGTTTGAATGCTGAAAGGGAAATATGCCGAAGCTGAGAAGATAAAGCTAAAAGAAACTAGAAGCTAAAAGAAGCAGCTAAAAGGAACAAACTCCTAGCTAAAGGAAGCTAACTTTAGCTGAAAGCCAGTAGTAATCTAATATCGGCTAAAAGCAGCAAAGTAATAGTAGTTGTGAACATTTTGGCATAATAACGACTAAAACAGCTCCAAAATCTGTAAAAGTACTTGGTTTGTAAAAGAACATACCAAAAATATTAAAACAAGGAAAGATGTAAGCAAGACAAAGAGCTAAAACATTGAAAAAAAAAAACAATATTAAGTTGAGACGGCAGCTATCATAAAACGGCATTCATCTTTATCCATCACTGTTCAGTCAGGTCATCTGGACGTTTTTTTTTTGCTGAGACGTTCGTCCTTCATCCAAAGGACTTCTTCAATCCGAGAACCCACCAAACAAAACTGATTCTAGATAGAGGAAGTCCTTCATCCAAAGGACTTCTTCAATCTGAGGAGCCACCAAACAAAACTGATTCCC